AACATTCCTAGCATGATGAAAAGACACGAGCATCTTAACTCGGAAAATTATTCCCAAAGTCTAGGTTTGACGACCCCTTAGAATTTCTTATATAATCTAGGGTTTCACTTTTGATCTAGAAATCATTCTTACTCGACTCTATCCTTTGCTTAGAATTTCTAATTATTTTCATCAATCAAATCGAGTATTCCTGTTGACTTCATCTGATCAATTCAAATAGATTATCACCCCATTTTAAACCCTTTAATCATCATTTTTTTGGGTATAGACCCCCTCTATTAGATGGTTGAATCCTTACATCCAGGCCTTTCTCATGACACGTTGTCATCAAACTGTATGTCGCATTTTTTTTAGCTTAATTCTTCCAATTTTGATCCTTTACTTATCTCCATAGAGGATTAGATCATTACATAACTCATTGGTCACCTGATCATCTAGACCAATATCATACATGTTGATTTCATCATCAAAGGCACATGTCTCTATAAGCAAAGTAGTGATGGTTGAAGTCAGGGTGGATTGCTTGGTCACTGGGAGCACCTTGAAGCACTTGGTTGAATACTTGTTAGCAATTTAAGAGAAAGCAAGATGAGAGTAAGAAGGAGAACCGACTGAAAGGAAGAAAAGAGAATGAATGAGCATAAGAATCCAACACTAAACCCTTATATATAAGGCGCTAGAGGAAGTTCAAGTGTCTTGAAAGAGCCACACCTTGATTTCAAAAACCTAAAACACATCAACACAAAATTTGAGCGAAAATTAAATGAAGAAATAATTTTTTTTTGTGAAAATTAATAAAAAAAGTATCTTTATTTAGATAAATAAAATTATAAGTGAGTCCTCGACTGCTTTGGCAGACCTAGCTAAAGCGGTTTCTGGTACAACACTCCCCCCCCCCCCCAAAAACATAAACTATTTATATTATTTCCTTGTGCTTTGGCTTGCATGATTGAGCGGGTCAACCAAACGTTGGCCAGCTCCACCAGAAAAATTGCAAGCTCAGTTGAGTGCTCCTGCCTCAGGGCCACCAGTTTTACTAGGAGCTCCATCTTCCTCACATCCATTGACAAACCACTGACTTCACTTTCAAAGCCTTTTTTACGACCATTTAGGGCATCAACCGCTTCCCGCCTACTTTTTTCATAAGTTGGTATTTCCTCAGCCACGCCAGGAGCAAAAACTCAGCCGACACTTGGTAGTAGTGAACCGACACTCATAATCAAATTAGATGCATCAGAATAAAATGTTAGTGCAAAAGAAATTTCTAGATACAATAGATCATCTCCACATACCTAGGGCTCGATTTAACTTGGAACATTGAAACAAAGGATAACTCTCACCAAGAATTGACAGGGTGCCTGCAACCTCTCTCCTAAGGCCTGGTTTCAGAACTGCATTCCTCCGATCTTTGGGCAGTGAAGCTCCCGTCATCTTCCGGGCAAGTTGTCCGGTTGGCTGGTCACGAGTCACAACAGACACAGGGGTCGGTGCACCAACAAGTGAGTCACCTGATTTGCCTTCCTCATTTTGTCATAGAATTATCAACGACTCAGATGATGCAAACTTGTCTCTGAAATCTTCCACCTGTTCTTCTTATAGGTGAGTTGTTAACTCACGTGCAACTTATGGTCAACTCCCTTCTCCCGTCCTCTTTGTTTCTGTAAGCTTCTTCATGCCCTCGGTTTAACTTCCATCTGTCTTCTTTATTATGGACTCCACACCCTTAGGACGGTGACCTGCTTTTGGTCGCTTCTTCTACTCAAGTCCCTTCTCAAAATGAAATCGTGACATAGAAGCCCCGAAAGCTTTTACCAGCATTTCATTGGTAAGGATGTCGTTCGTGATTTTTTTGTTGCCCTTCATGGAAATGCTCTTAAAGTTGACTGACTAAGAGACACACTCTCAGGCTATGTAGTCAACAAAAGCACTTACCATGCACTATTTAAAGAACACCATGGACACAGAAATTCATGGAGTTCAATTAGTAAAGTAATGATTATGAAATAAATGAATCTAATTTTTTGCAATTAATTTTCTTGTTGTTAACGTAACACGACTTTCAAGAAGCAAGAGAATTAGAAAACTAAATATGTATGTTGAAAATGCATCAACATGAATTTCAAGGAAATTCAACGGGCTAAGAGACAAGAGTGTGGTCAAGGATGATCCATAGAAGGAAAAGCAAAAGTCACATCAACGATAGACTTTTTATGTCATATTAAATATTTTGGCTGCTATGCACTTAAATATTAAAATTTGGGTATTAGATATGTAAATACATAAGATTTGTGATGACCTTTCCACAACTACCATAGAAGGAGTTCAAATCCAATAAGGATGACCTTCATTACAGCATGTTGAGGTCCATTTTAACACAAACTAGTGCTCAAATGCATCAAATTGGGATAATATTATAATCCTTCACACAAGAAGCTTCAAATAGCTTTACAGAGACATGTTAAGGAAATTAACAATGGAGCAGCATTGAGAACAAGGGAAATTACCAAGGTAACTACTCAACGCATCATTCCTAGGGAAAATGCCCCTGTACTATATCAGGACAGAAGAGCTTTTTTACTAACATCAACACATAGGAATTGGGTGGTATGTATGTAAATGCCCCTGTACTATATCAGGACAGAAGAGCCTTTTTAACCAACATATCAGGTTCAGTTTGGTAAAGACACAAACCAGGCTTGAAGCAGTACAGAATAGCTTGTATGTGAGCATATAAAAAAAAAAAAGTTATATCAATAGAAAAAAGTTGACTAAAATGGGGCATTTACAAACATACCACCTGAAACAAAAATATCAGCATTGGACCAATAACAAGACTGTTTGATTAGAAAATTTAAATATAAACAAACACCCCAATTTGAGAAAAAAACATAGGACGCTGAAGATACTGGCACGGACATACAAGGTTAAAATAAAATGAAACCAACACAAACATGGAAAAGGTTGCAGACTAACACAAAACCTATGGCGTTTTAGCAGACAATAGAATGCATACAAACACAGCATAAGAATGACCAAGATTGATTATCATATAGATATTCATTATTATGCAAGCCACATGCTTCTTATAATCACTGTCATAGGATTAGTTTTAAATAAAAGATTAAGGAGGCTCGAATCTAAAAAATTAAAATTAAAGAACATTCTCAATAAATCAGACAAAGGAAGAGAAATTTGATCTAAAAATAGATGATAATGAGACATTAAAATTTTAAAATAGATTGTAAGTATTAATCAACAATAAGTGAAAGATTTAAAGAAACTCATACTGTGGGAAATAGCATGCAACATGATCAAGCTATG